AAGTGATCCTCTGCTCAATGTTCTTCTCAGCACATACACAAAATCTAGTACCTTATGAAGAGGTCTGGACCAAAAAGAGCATTCCAAACCTTGCAATAGGAAAAAGAACAAAGTAATGGTTATATTGAATAGAACCTTCAATTACTGAGATATCTGTGAATTAATTTTCAGCATTCACTGTCAGAGCAAGTAATCTGCAAACCTTATTTTAGCAAGAGTATCCTTCCCCAAAGAATTAACAGCTTCACAATGAACAGTGATCTTTGCCAGAGCTATGACAGATCTTCACTATTCACCTTCACAAATTTGTCATGAAGAAGGGATTATAAATTCACATTTAGTTCTGTATATAAGGTTGCAAACTGCAGTTCCTCCCTTAGATCTCAGGAGGACTAGTTACACGTTCATTAGAAAGTTGTATTCCAGAACATTCTCTTAAAACCCCAATACCTTACAAAACAAAACCAAACCAAACTCAAACAAAAAAAAACCAGGACACATGACTGAAAAGTTTCTTTTTTGACTTGCATCAAGGACTGTAAGATTAAGAAGGGCTGAGGCTTACCTGGCCAGAGGAGAAAAAAAACAAAACAGGCTTGATTTATAAACAAGCACAAGCTTCTCTTCTCAGCATAGATGAAACTACCATAGTCAGTGTTTACCAATGCTTTCTAAGACAAGAACATCACCTGTTAGGCARCCCTTCAGAACAAAGGTAGCACCCTAATTTTTGCATTCCCTCACGACGAAATGTGAGTTCACATCTGAGATCAAACAAGTCAAAATTCCCATCCCAGATAAAGGTAAAGGCATTTTGAAATTCTGTCTCCACAACCCTCATCCGCCAAAGCAAAGGCAGCTGCCCAGCTCTCCAGCTACCATTCCTCCCATGAGGGTAACACTGTCTCTCCATCTTCTAAGCAACTGCTCACACTCTGCACATTAAGTCTGTGATGGGACAATGCAMAGTTAATACAAAGATTAATAAGTTTAAGTAAAACCTAGAATTACCTAGATAATTTGCCAAACCTAGGACTCCTAAGTACAGAGCTCGAGGATTTCTGCTTGAAGCTCCTGAAGGAACCAATCTCAACAGTAGCCATTTAAAGAGTACAGGAACAACCTAGAGATCAGTGTTAAAAGCTGTTGAAAACCAACGTATTCTGATCAACAATGCCTCTTGATAATACTTTTATCACAAACTAAATACCTTCACTGTTGGAAGAAGACACTTAAGTCTCATCAATACTTCTAAGGCAAAGGGAGAAAAAAAAAACCCCAAACAAACAAAAGCTATTTTGGGCAAACAAGGATGTTTACCAGAGAAATTTTCAAGTATTACTTTACCCGGAGCTGTCCTATCAAATTCACTGTTTCACTTCTGGCACCTATCACTGTAAAGATTATGCCTGTCACCTCTTCCAACCTAACCTAGGCAGACAGCTGCTCTAGAAATAGAGCCCTTACTACTGCTTATCTGGAAGCTACTGAACTCTTTCCCCCACAACTGATTGACATTAAACCAACCACTGCAGTACAGAAAAAAGACAACTTTGAACCATCCCTGCAGAAGACTAAGTGCTTGCTTCTAAATGCACTGGAGACCAAAGTTGCTGCAGAATTTACTGCTGCATTAACTAAGAATGCTCAGTTAGTTTATGGGTATCAGCTAAACCTTCACAATTCCAATTTAGGAACTGTTTTACAYACACCTGCAAGACCTTGTCTGTCTGCACTCTAAACTGGCTTTCCAGTTAAGGGTTATTCTAAGATACACATTTAAAATTACAATTTATCCACTATCTTATTCCAATTATTTTTAAACCAGCTGGTTTTATACTAGACTGCATGAATTGACAGCAGCRTATTTCACAGGCAGCACATTCATTGCCAATATAAAAGTCCTCAGCYTGATATTGAAAATATTTTAGCCATAATACCATCTACTTTTTAAAACATGTAATAACAATTTCCTATCAYAATCTGAATCCAACAATTCTTCAATTTATGCCTATTATATATTTATATTGAAGGCRCTGGGGCAAAACACCATCTACTCAATGACATCAAGAACCAAAGGCTGTAAAGCAGATAATCCTAATGAGTAGCATTTTTTTTGTTTTCACTTTTGAGGGAATTAGTAGTGTGTTCTAGTAAAATAATATTTACACCTTAAGAGCCTTTACTGATCATGGATTATCTCATGCCACTGTTCTAGTGGTAATTTGTTTAACTGAGATGCTTGTCGGCCCCATTTGCATGTATGAAACTACAAATGAATCAGGGAAAACAACAGATTTTTTTTTTTGCAGACAGATTTACACACAGCGAGGAATCTTTACCTGAATTCCAACTATGCTTTTTATGCTTCTGAATCACCAGCCATATCTCATGGACCTAAGGTATCAGCTTCAGATGATAATGCCTGTTAAAACACTGTTTTTTATAGAAATGAAGGGTCTGAAATAAAATGTCTAGAGAGAAAAATTGAGGGGAGGCTGCCAAAAATGGTACAATAGTTATTTAGAACATTTCTGGCTGTGAATGTTTAAACCCTCACATTATCTGCTAATTAATGCAAACTCATTTTTGCATAAGCAACTATCCAATCTAACAGGACTGATAYTGTATGCTTGCACACCTATCTTGTAACATGTTGTCTTTTTTCATTTGCCAGACTGCAGTTCCATGCCTCCCCAGCAACCAAAGCTTGCTGTYGTGGTTTGCTTAAAGCCAGACTTTTCAGAAAAAAAWTAGCATCTGTATTCTTGATAAAAAGAAAAAATCTGTAACAAATAGTACAAATTAAGCTTTCCTGCATCCTGGGAAGACTACTTKTTGTGCTTAAATATCATTTAAGGTTTTTCAACTGAAACCTGAACAAGCTGACTGCCATCATGTTGGTAAATTCTAACCCCARTTAAACACAGCAATCAATCTTAAAAAAAAATATTGCAGAAAGGACACTCTAGTTTCTTTCCCCATGTTAACATGTTGGTTAAATCAAAGTATCTTGACTTGACACTTTGCTCTCTATACTCACTCTCAAATACAAGTCATTAAAATAGAGATTTTGTTTAATCCAAGTCTTCTAGGATGGATATGACCCCTCTGTTCTGAAGCTATTACAGCAGTCATTCATCATGTTGAGATAAATGTTTTACCAGAGTAGGACAACTCACTTTTCCAAAGCCTTCACTTTTCACATTAAGTTCAAATGGAAAGTTTTCTACCCTCCCTCTGTTCCAAAGTAACCAMGATCCACTATGTCATTTTTAGACTGTGGTTTTGATAGGTAGATTACTCATGGAGGTAATCACTAAGCTTTTTGTTAACTCCTGGAATTATTCACCATGTCCATATTAGCTCCTACCAGCTCCTCCCCTAGGCCCCCTGCTTGAACAGGAAGCCCAAATGCAACTTCTGCAGAAAGCCCATGTGAGACAGTGRGTCTGCTTTAAGGATGACACACCTGCTATTTCCCACCTCAAATTTTCAGCATGCATCTAGAATATCCCAATTTATCCTCATCCTTTCATCAAAATTACAAAAAATTATCACATGGGGAACATGAGAGATGCAAAAAAAGTGGTCCAAACAAGATTTCCATCTTCCATGTAATACTTTACTATTTTCTTCTTCCCTGACTCATCATCATCCATACCTCCTTGTGTTCTGTAACAGCTGATACCTTATACACCTCACAAATCACCGAAGTTGGTAATGGAAATGATTTTAAGGGCTGTGACTCCCAGAACGAAGTAATAAACATAAATAACACAACTACAAAAACCAAGAGCCACACATTTGTAAGCTTAAAAACTTTTACCTCAGTTGAAACGGCACTGGCAGCTGTATTTCAACTTTCCAGCAAAACAGTATAAGCTGGTTAGAAAAGCAAGAATGCTGCATGAACTGTAACTTCATAAAAAAATTTCAGGAAGTCCTCACTGAGGAATATACTGCTAAAAAAAGCCCAAGTTTCTAAATTCCAAGCCAACTAGACTGGAAAATGTCAAGGTCATTTTCCTAGTTTAGAACCAGAACAAACCATGTCCAAACTACATATTCAAATTTTTATAAAAATTAAGGTTTAACATTTATTTTACATCTAGCTTTCCACATCCATGTGGGGACAAGGAATCAGAATGTACATAACTATTAAGCAGTGCAAAAGTGGTGCCAGTGAGAAGTCACAGATGCACAATAAAGTGATAGTACAMGACTAGAGAAAATGAAGCCATGGATGTTAAGAATGGAGACCAAAAAGATTAAACAAGGAAAAATATGAGGAGGGAAGGAAAGAGGATGTTTAATAATGCCCTTGTCGCTGCAAAGATAAACTAATGGCACAAGACGATGTTTCTTGTAGAACAAAAATCCAATAGCAATGAGTCTTTATTCACGTTTAGTCACCTGACATGAAGAAAGTGTCTGTTGCATTAAAATAGTCATCAATGTAAATGGCAGCATGGCTGAACAAGTCGTTTTCAATGGTAACGAACATCCCACATAGTAAAGTCACTTCAACACAGCCTCATGACAATTCCCACATCAAAACAGTACTTTATTTTATAATTTTTCTGCCTCATCATTACCCCCACATTAAGATCTTTCAGTTGTCAAGTGTACAAGGTGAAGAAAAAGGTTCTCAGTCAGCAAACACAGGTGCATCAGGAAGTATCTCCACAATACACCACTTCAGRTCGGCTGGGTCCCAAGTCCATCCTTGAACGCTGGGCTCCCAGCACCAAGTGCAGCCCCTACTATGGCTGCACGACTATGTTAGCTTATTAATTCTGCATCCACCAGGCCGAGCAATGTGCCAACCTGCAACAGACTGAGCATTAGAACTGAAAATGGCAGAAGAGTCACTCTATTGAACTTTACATCATTATTTGATGTTAAACAATGAGGCAAATGCCAACAGTATATACAAAAACCAGCTTTGCTTTTACAAAAGATTTTGTTTCCCATATTGATTAATCCAGGCAGCTAACTCATTGGTTTATGCAACTTTATTGAAGAAAATAAATCAATTACTAGTAGAGCTATTAGTTGATCACTCATCCATTGACAACTTGCATCATTTATTCAGTGCTATATTAAACAGTGTTTTGGAAGACAGATTAACTAATAGCTCCAAGCCTCCTAACAAAATTTAAATGAATTACAAAAATGTTCTTAAACCCTATTTTGGAATACAAGGGATGTTTGACTTCCAATTTCCATTCTCTGTAAAACAAGAACTGGTCATTCCTTTATTGACATGCATAAGATACATCACATTTTCTGTTCTGCTGATGCTATAAATTCAGTACCAATTCTCCAGACACATCAGTTATGAGCAAAAGTATATAATAAAACCTCAGTTCTCTAACACTGGAAGGTTTGAAACAAGATGGATGCTGCTACAGCAATGTTACTTCTTTGATGGGAGAAAACTGAACATCCATCTCCCCTCCCCCCTTCAGGTGGTATCTTCAGTATCTGTTAGAGCAGTGAGGAATGTTTGTTTGCTTTTAATCTCATAACCAAGTTAGAATGAAGATATTGGCCACATAATACACATGCTCCATTAAAAAAAAATTCTGAATCTTGGGCAATTGTTCTTGTGTAACTACTTTACAGATTCTAAAAGCAGTTATTGTCCAAAGCTGGAAGAACTAAAGTCTTCTCAGATGAGCATGTGCATGAATGGAAGGAGGTAAACAAAAAAATAAAAAAGATGAGGTCTGATAGGGGAGCAGCCGGATAAGAAAATCAAAAAAGGAACAGTAATTTAAAGTTTATTCCAGCTATAATGCAGGTTATTCTGACTTTAAGGTAGCATCACATGGCATACTTCTGAGTCCATTCCCGAGATATTCTGTTGTACCTGCAAACAAAACCAGGAATGTAATTAATGCCAGCATGAAAATGACAATTTCCTAAACAGTTTATGATGGAGTATGATTTTATTTCCATCTCCCTATTCTCTTTACACTGCAAGAAGTCTCTTTCTGTACAAAGACAAACTGAAAAAACTGAACATTTCCCTCCCTAGACCACTCAGGATATTCTCTAGTTTTTAGGAAAAACTTTAAATTCAAGACAAGCAAATTTGCTAGAAATCTGTTGTGAAAAAATGACTGAAAGGGAAGGAATGGAGACTATCTGGGATGGAAGAAACAAGACAAGTATATTATTTAAATATTGCTCTTAGGTTAAGATTACAGTATATCTCATGCCATAAGTAAATATTATTTGGTTAATTATATCACAGGATACAAAATGTCAAATTTCCCACTTTAAAGAAAAACAACACTAAACATTTCATTGCACTGAATATTTGCTTTCCACACAAATGTACTGCTCAAACTTCTTAAAAAGGACATTAAAAGACTATTTAAAGTACACTACTTCCACAGGAACTGAGCTAACCATTAGTTTACACTTAACTCCATGCTTGTCAGTAAGAAGTTAATTTTCAACTATACAAGCAGARCATAATCCCCATACATCTCCTAGTTCATTTGTGGAAGACAAACACTGCTTATTAAAAATAGCTGAAATTTAGATTGTCCGAATTCACTCATGTCCATATATGAGGTCTCGCTACAAGGCACCACTTTGAACCAAATTCTGACAAAGTSTGGGTAAATACTTACCAGGACAAGTTGACAACCTGGCTCAGAACTCAGTAATTACTTCACACTAAGTTGTTTTTTTTTTTTTTGACCATGCAAGAGTAGTATCTGTGAGAAATAGTGACTAGCCAATACGTGACACACTAACCACAGATCAAGCTGTTAAACTTCCAGGTTCAGTAACTGGTGCATCCATTATCTGTTAGTTAATCCAGTGCCTTAGAGCATGCAGCACCCTAGTGCTGACAAATTTCCATTTTGTTAAATGCACCATCATTTGCAAATATTCTTACCCTACAGCATAGCGTATTTCTCTGTCCACTCTCTTGCTAACCTATTGTACCTAATTGGATAAATATATTTAGCATTAATATATACAAAACCCTCAAAATCTGCTTAATATAATTCTGCCTGTGCAAAATGTTAAAAATACGAAAGGAAAATAAAGGTGTTGCAACACAGCGGGGGAACAAAGTTTTGCAACTTATTTTCAAGGGGAGAACCAAAGGCCAAACTGCTGCTAAATGAAAGCATCAAAACAATAGAAAGTAGCTTTTCTTTATTATGAAGATCTAACTAGATTTACACATGGTAAGCAAAAAAATGGGCAATATATACATACTGCAAAATACTTCCACGCATGTGAGAAAAAGGTAAGTCTCCTTCACCCACARCTCCAAAGATGCTAAGATCCTCTGGTTTTAAATTATGCACCACCAAGAATAGTCACTTCTTTGACACACAAGTTTTCTCCATCTCAGATTTTCACCAAAGGCCATTGAACACAACGGCTGTGTGACAATGGACTCTCAGAAAGTCTCTAAAAACACCAGTCTTGTGCAATTCTGTACTTACTTGTCTCTGTCTGTTTTATAGATACGTGCAATCTCTGGCACTAGTGGGTCATCTGGATTTGGATCACATAACAGTGAACAAATGGATAAGAGAACTGTAAAAGAAAAAGCATTCTCAACAGCGAAACAGGAACARCAATCTCAGAAACAATGGAGCACAGATCTTTGTCAGCACAATATCAACACTATTTTCYCAATAAACAACCAAAATAAATTTGTAACTTACTCTTAAGTTAAAAGCCCAGACAAACTTAAAAGGTTGTAAGAACTGTATTTGCTTCCTATTTCCCAATACTTACAGCTGTCAGTACATACAAGATAACAGTAATGTTGTCCCCTGCACTATGATGTAATGTTGCAGCCAACAACAGCACATTGTGTACTCTGATGAACAGCACATCCATGGTTCTTATCACTACATAGAAAATCTTCACATTTAAGTTTTGATTTTTAAAATCAGACTGGATTCTTTATCTGTTGTGCATAAGGTGAGAATATCCTGGTCTGCACACATGTTGGAAAAAAACTCAAGAGCAACGCTGCTGTAGGCAACTAGGAGGACTTCTACTGTCACAGAAACTTTRCAAGAAAATAGTGAAGCATTAAAATGCAGGGAATCCACACTCAAATCACAAAGTGACTGTTCAGACAGACAAGAATTACAAGTTCTACAGACAAAAGGGCACTTTGATGGATCTTTTGAAGCCACAATGACCAGTGGCTTTGAGGCAAAGCAATTTGATCATCATRAAAATATTTGAGAATTATCTGTTATTTACTGTAGTAAAACCAGGAAAGTCACTAATCTTCTCTTGCAACACAACAATTTACCATGAAGCAGGGGTGGTAAACTTAGTTCATTAAGTAAGGTAATACAATGCCAGTGCACCATGGTAGAAAGCAACATATCAATAACAGGTTTATTCATCCACCACAGATAGGCCAATATAACTGAGCATGTAATTAGACTGAAAAAAAAAGTACGCAAATTTCATTATTAAAAACTGACTTTAAATTAATCTCTTATTTTATATGCAGATGTGTATTTACATGGGCMGATTCCAGCAAGCAGTTTCTCAGCCTTAGCTCAAATACACCACCACAGGCCTATTTCAATCCAAATACTGGCAAATACTCAGGGACCAAGCTAGCAAACTCTAAGAATATTGAAGCAAGTAAGTGGTCACCCAAGGTCTTAGCCACATAGCAGAAAGTGTCAGAAAAAAAAACAATACCATTAAAAATGCAGTTATCATCAAACTGGCAAAACAAGGCTTGAATGCAAAGGGAAAGGGACTAAAAGAGATGGGCAAGAACTTAACACAATCCAACCTAAAAGAACAGTATTCAACACAAGATGGAAGAACTCCTTCACAAAAGTTACCTTTAGAAATAGTTAAAGCAGGAGACCACTGTGATCTTAGAATATCAAGACAAATGCTGCCATTACTGTTTATATTTGGATGATAGATTCTTGTCGTAAATGCAACCTGCAACAAAAAAAACCAAAGAAACAGAGTGCATTTCAGACAATGACTGCACCCCTTCTTCTYAGTCACCTATCAGTCAATTCAATTTTCTCTAAAAGGATTAAGCAGTTAAACTGCATCAAATGCACCCAAGTCACAAGCTCTCAAGTCCTCCCAGTACCAGGCATTATTTCAAACAGAGAGGCCAAGTATGAGGCTTTTAATCCCAGCTGCCATATCATGGTGAAGACACTCAACAGAAGTGCCTGAATCACAGTAAGGCTGCTGTCACKGAGCTAAKGAACTTCAAACACTCCAAGGGTACACTTTCATATTGACTGAAAATCAGAAAACAAAGCTAATGGCTGTTAAGCYACCAAAAAAGAGCATATTTTGCAATTACTTCAAAGTTCTTAAAAAAAATTACCTCTTCACTTGAATTTAGGCACTTAGCAAGTTAATCTCCACCCATAGTGTCACATTTCCACAGACGAATCCAAATAGCTATACTAATACTTGACAGTCCCCTCAGCAAGAATTCTATTATACATAATATATAAATATTTATATGTTAATTTATAAACATAAAGCTAATGAGTTTTCCTATTTATTAAAGAAACCAAAAATGAACCCAAATATTTCAAGGCATTCAGAATTCATACACATGGATCTGCTCATAAAAAAATATGCTAACACACCCCTTCCTGTGATAGTAAGAATGGGACCCAGACATCCAATATATGCCTGAAAAGAAGTGAGAACTTGCCAATACAGAGGCTGACAACTTCTGCCCTGTACCCAATTCTTTAAAAAGCACTAACTTCACAAGTGAGACTGCAATACCTACCTTAGGTGGTTTGAATGGGTAGTCTGTGGGAAAGTGAATTGTCAAGAAGAATACACCACCCTGATATGGACTGTCGTTCTGTCAAAGCAAACAAATAATTCTCCTATTATCATCTTTAGGACTAAATATCACTGAAGATCTTATTTTTAAATAAATAAAAGGAGAGGAAATTTGTTTAAACAACCAAAATGTTTAATCCACCAATACATGTGAGACACAGTTAATATTCAATTCTTATTTCCTAAGGTAAGTAATACAGAACACATACCCATCACCTTCCATGTGGACTTCTCCAAGCTAATGCATCACAAAAAACAGCTTCTCTGACAGTCCACTCAGGACTACTTGGCAAAAGCATTCAAATGTTTCTGAGATAGCTCCAAAAAGTAACATTAACAGAGTGGGGGTCCCATTAGATTTAAAATCCTCCAGTTCTGTGTTTGGAGTCTTTTTGTTATAACCACCCGAGTTTAGAGTGGCCACAGACTACCATTCCCTCCTAAATTCTGTCCTTAGCTTCAGCCCTGAAGAAAACCTATGAATACACAGCTAGATCCTTGTTCCTNCCCAACAAAATAAACCAAACCACCCATCCTACCAGCACCACCAAACAAACAAAAAAACCATAATTCAAGTGAGTTTTTTCTCTCTTTCTGTATTAGAAATCCACTGTAATCTAGTATGAGAGTATTTTACACTTCCCTGATCCAAGGAAAGAATTACTGGGATAATTCATTCAGGTATCAACTGAAACCAGAAAAGCAACATGTGGAAGTAAAAGATGATAGTAAGCAGAAGAAAAAAACTGAGTGGCTAAATACGGATTGTTTAAGTTAGTAGTTATAAGAAGAAAGAAGCAAAAGCTTTTTCTCAAAATCAGAAGTAAACTTCTGCAACAGAGCTAGTAACTTCACTGTTTACCCTGAAAAAAGATTTTGCTTTTAATTCTGGAYTCAGGGCTGGGGAAAATAAATTTGAGGCATAAATACTTACACTTCTGCATTATTTGTAAATTGAACTCTCATATTAATTGCAAAAAACATTTCACCAATATAAGGAAATTACTACGTCTTAGTTAAATAGCAGAAAATTAAAATCTGCAACATAAGACAGGGGACTCAAACCCTCAACATGTGGGTTATACACTATCCTATCACTGATGTAATCTAGTGAGCAAGAGAGAACCTCTTGTATTTGGTCAACAAATACCATAYAAGGCCTTGAGGTGCCAAAAAATACCAACCCTTATACTGGACATATTGTGAAGATACATTTTAGCAATTACAGAAACTCCTCTTAGAATGTGTTAAACCAACACAACACCTGTTATACACCTATCTAAGAAAATCACAAGATCCTATTGCAGAGGTGGAAGACGAGACGATTGGTTCTACAGTCCCTGTCTGTTATTAAAGGCAGCAGCACAGCAGCACTTGAACTAACACCACACTTCTGTCAGGATACTGCCCAATCTGGAAACAGGAACACAGACCTTTTGACACCACAAAAACCACACGGGGAAAAAAGGAGCTGTACATTATTAGACCAGAAGGGAAAGCTAAAAATAATAATCCAAATTTAAATTCAAYGAATGCTTAATACCTTGTGACCATTCAGACACCAGCCACATAGAATCATCACACCCAGTGAAGTACAACACTCCTCTGCCATTTAAGCACRAATACAGCCACTGAACAAGTCCATCTTTTTGAGGYACCTACTTACAGTCAATGAGGACCAAGTACCTTGGGATGAAGAGACATTTTTCCAGTCCAGTTTTCCAGAACCTCTAACACCCATCTCCTAATAACACACTTGTAGCTATATATAAAGCCAGGGCCATTCAGAATCACTGATATTTAATTCCTCCTTTGTAGCCTCAACAAAGGTTTGTCTTCACAAGTTACAGAAGGTTTTGGTTTTTAAAATACAGATAACCAGCCCTAAGAACTCCAGCTGTCAAGTGCTTCCAGGTTATATTTTCAACCAAAGCAAACATCTGGCTTCCTTAATGAAGAGAAAGTCACATCCAAGTTTCAGATGCTAACTGAACATTTAACATGGATTTTTTTTTCTCCAGTCATAACTGAAATCTCACAGTTCAATTACTTTTTTCCCCCTTCTACTCCTTCAAGGATTCAAGATCCCAGCATTACAACACCAGAACAAATAAGGATTCYCTTCTAAGATCCACACAAAAACATCCCAACTAATTCCTGAGCTAGTACCAGCTCCTAGTACAAAGTTCATGCTAGATTCAAACTCCAAAAAAAGTTAAAATGCCAAGTTTCTAGATAATAAGTGATAATAGCTAACATTGCTCTAGAGATCATTTCAACTGAAATATATGTCCACATAAAAACATTGCAACAACAAAATAATTGGTGCATTTTTTCCCCTCCCTCATGTTCTTCTACTGTAATGAGAACCTCTAGAATTTAAGTCAGACAAGGGGAGTTAACAAAAGTAGACCAAAACCCCCAGAGTTTTCTCCTCAGTAGGAACTACTCATTTAATATTACATCACAAGAATTAGAATACTTACAGGTCCCATAATTGTGGCTTGCCAATGAAACACTACAAAAGAAAAACTCCGCATTATTATCTAGGCATGATATGCTTTGAGTCAGCAGAGCAAAACATAAAACTTAAGAGTTACTTACTGTCATCTCCAACAGGACCTGCTGAACACTGTGCTGGAGGATCACGGGCTAAGTCACTAAGTTCCTTTAAAGAAAACAAACAAATAAAAGAAAGTAATTTTAACTTCATGTCTAGCAGAAACCTCTAACAGTTTTTCCATATACAAACACAGAAGAATGTGCAACTCACAACTCTAAGAACCACTAGATCACTATCAAAAATGTCTACACCAGAAAAAAGGGGCACTGGCACCAGCTATGAAGAAGGTAAACAGCTATAGTGACTATGTTTTTCCAAATACATGCATGTCACTACTGTGAAAACACTGCTGCTGAAGAAAGAAGCAGTACACAAAGCCTTAAGCTGGCAAAGTCTAACCACTTTTCGATCAAGATTTTCAAGGACTCAGTCTTATCTACAGAAGCTGAAGTGGAAGGAGAGAAAACTGCTGATAAGTCTTCACACAACAGAAAGCACTATGTATGTGACACCTAACATCAGAACTCAGAACAGAATGAAAAACCCCACAGAAACTKGGTTTCACTTTACCACTATCTGCAGCAGGGATCTATCTTGTAAAGATCAAAACAGACAGGAAAATTCAAGACGCTGACAAGTGCTGTAATCAGGCAAAATATCTGTATTTCTTTTTAACCTTAAATCCATTTGAGACAATCATGCCTTGAAAGTTAAATATTACTGAGATGCTGAAACAATTCCCTCCATCCCTCATCACAGAGGGGGAGTGCTCTGTTGTGTGTTCTGTTGTTTCCCCACAACAGAAGCTTCAGATCGAGGATTCCTTGTAAAGTAACTGCTGTGACAAAACAAAGATGCTCTGCATTAAATCATTTTAATGCTTCTCAAGTCACTAATTTGGAAGTGTCTGAAAATTAAATTTACACTTTCAGTTGCAGCATGTAACAACCACCTTCTTTCTCCCCTGCTCTCCCCTTGAATATAAAAAGGGCTTCAAAAGCTTCTATAAATAAATCTGCACTTGTCAAGTATCTAAAAGYCATGAGAAAAGGCAAAATATTGAGCCCCTCTTCCATATAGTAACAGTTTCACACAAGTTTGGTTTTTTTCCTGCAGATCAATATAAGCCATTAAACCAAAAACTCTGTCAGACTTTTAAGAAACCCAGGCATACTTATTATGCTGGAAACATATGCATATTTGGACCAGACAACTAACTCTTGCCTGGGAAGACCATAATGTACGTTTTCTTAAGTTTCACAAATTCTGCACTTCCTAAAATTTACTAAGTATAAGCCAACACAAAATGAGGAACACAAAAAAAAAACCAAAAAACAAACAACTAATGTTCTCTGTAACACAAACACCTTGTTCTTTGGTAAGATGATAGCTCCTGGAAACACAGAAAGAGTAACAACACCTCAACATGTGCAAGACCATACACCAAAAAAACRYCCATCGCAAAYGAACAACCATCCCTCCCAYMAAACAACAAAACCACASCAACYCAAAACCCACACCAATTCYTTTCCCTCAAAAGATCAAGAAAATTTAGACCCAGATTTCCCTTCCCTACACGTTAATTCTGATGAACTTTCCAATTATTAATATTTCAGTTTTGCATTGGCATCAGACTGTTTTACAAAATGAAACTCTAGCAGTTTTGATAAGCAATGGCACAATGAAGTTAATACATAGTACAGCTCATTTCACTGCCTCTGTTTGTGAAGCGTGGGCAACAGTTCTTTCCAGACCATCACAGTAAATTAGCATTTAGCTACACTCTYCAGCTATTACGTGGGGGGAGAGGGGGGAAGAGGCCCGTGGTAGACTTATTTCTGCCATTTAGTATMATTTACTAGGTCCATATGTTGTTCATTACCCTCCAGAAAAATTTGTGACATTAGATTAGTGTTATCCATATAAGGGCAAGCAATAAATGTGACAGAAGCTTCTGACATAAAGATTTTTTTTTCATTTAACAAATACAGCAGGTTTTGTTAGTCAGGCTTATTTCTCATCAAAATCTATTTTCCAGTTCTAAGAATGGTCAGTCATTTCCAAAATCTGAGAGGAAAAAGATATCACATCCCTTAAAGTAAGCTGTAGTAATAGAATAAGCAGAAAAACACACGTTATTATTTTAATACATTATTATGGATGTAATTATTTATATCCTGTTTAAAAAAGAAATCACAGGGACTAAAAACTATGAAAAGTCTCTTCATGCCAGTTATGAAAATTGTAAAACTGAAGAACTTGCATGAAGACAAGAATGAGAAACGATCAGCATAAAGCACAGTGTCAGAGATATGTACATTAGATCACAGAGCTCTTCAAAAGGTACTACCATCTTCAGAGAAACAAGAATTCAGTACTGAAGATAAAATGAGGTATTTTACCACCTAGGAAAATTAGTAATTCAAYGTCAGTAATTCAACCAGGTAAAGCAACTGCAGATCTAAGACACGTATTAGATTTATTAAGTTCTAATGAAAAATTTGTGAAAAAAAACCTTTTGGTAATACTAAAAATAATTTAAAAGCTGAAACAAATGAGTTYCAGTATTCCAGACTCCAGTAATTGCTAAATGTATGCATTTAGAATTTCTAAGTGTATGCAGTTACTCCTTTTAACTACTTGAACTGTTTGAGATAAAGTAGAAGTGACCTTCATTAACAAAAGGACTAGTCTGGTTCAAAACAGTTCAGTAAAAAAAAAAAAAAAAAACCCAAAAAAAACCTAATTGTACTGATCAAAGCTGTTCAATATACAGATAATTTTGGGAACAAATGATACGCAGTGGACCTTTCACCCACAGAGCAAGTAATTCACCCACTAAATTTGGAAAAAAATTCTGAGGTGGCATACACTCTTGTATTTGCTTCTCTGGGGTACTGTCATCAGAAAAGTTTGTAGTAAAGCTGTTTGCTTCAGCGGAGTGTGAAGGGCTGTGGAAGAACATGGGCAAA